TGTAAGTGGTTCAAATTGACCTCATGGCTGCATCAGGTGGGGGAAGAGAGGGGTGGAGCACTGGATGTGTGGCTCAAATGGTGGAGCACGTGCCTAGTAACCACAAGGCCCTAGCGCTTGCCTACCAGGCACAAGTACCGCCGGAAAACAAGGAAGAAAAAGGACTTTCTCTGCACCCATTATTCCCTCCATGAAGTCCAGTGTGTTTGTCCACGTGGCTATTGCCTGTCCCCAACACACACACACACACACACACACACACACACACACATACCACACACACACACCACACACATACACACACATAATACACATCACAAAAATATACACACATACACACAACACACAGAATATACACACACCACATACACACAATACACACACACCAAACATACACACACGTATACATATACAATACACACACCACACACATACATACACACCACACACACATACAAGACATACACACACATAATACACATTGCACAAAATACACACATACACACAACACACATACACCTCACACACCCATACACATACATACACACCACACACAAAATGTACATACACACACATACATATACAATACACACACCACACACAATGCACACACCCCACATATACACACACCACACATAAGCAGTATGCACACACCACACACTATACACACAATACATACAACGCACACACAACACACATACTGGGCCACTGGAGTGGAAGCCACATCAGTGCAGTGGCGATGTCTACTTTGTCTTTGGGATCCAGTAGGAGCCAAAAAATAAATAAATAATAAATTTATGTTGGTTAAATCAACCAAACAATTGATTCTTCTAACTCAATTTAAACTTTTGACAGAACTATTGTTTTTGCCTCTTCTTAGAGTACTTGACTGTACACTAAAAGTGTGACAGGGACACAGAAAGTCCTTCTGGGTGAAGAGTTCATTCTGAGGACTGTCCTCTAGTTCCAGCCACCCTTGCTGGTGATGAGAGCCACTGGACATGGGACAGTCTCAACAGTCCTAACTCTGCCATTTCCTAGTAGTGTGACCTGGGTAAGTACCACTCCCAAACGGGAGTGGTGACAGACCTCACTGCATTGTTTTGCTGTGAAGATTGATTAGATAAGATACTTATCATTTGAGTGAAATCATTGCTTTTCTGAAGGGCGTCTCTGGACCTGTCAAATGAAACAAAACTCCTAACCTGGAAGGTTGGAGCCTGGCCACAAATTGGTCCCTGCTTCACAAACCACCATCTTTTGCTGCTGCTCTAGCAGGGATGGACATTTGTACCATTTTGTTCCCTTTCTGTGGAGAATCACTGCTCTCCCCCACTACCACCACCAATTAGCAATACTGATTAGTGCCTGAGGTGGGAATGGTATAACACAGTCCCCAAGCCTGGGGGGACTCAAGAGACCTCCTGGAACTTTTGTCATGTTATATGGGAAGGCACTCTTATCCCAGATGTTGGTAAGTTGGTAGAACCTTAGATCACTGTGCCGAAAAATATGGAAAATCCTGTATAAGTCTGCCAACGCTTCTGTAGCAGAATGCTACAGACTGGTTCAAACAAGTTTATTTTGTCACTGTTTGGAGTCTGGAGACCCATGATGAAGGTGTTGGCAGGTTGGTTTCTGATGAGGCCTCTCTCCACGGCTTGCAGATAGCCTCCTTCCTCGTGTGTCCTTTTGTGGTCCTTCACCTGTGGGCTCCCTCCTGGTGTTTCTTCCTCCTCTAGTAAGGACACCAGTCCTACTGGATTAGGACCCTAACCTTATAACTTCACTTAAACATAATTTCCTCCTGAAAGGTCCTCTCTCCACACATGAACTGGGAAAGGGAGGACAATTGAGAACCCACAGAAGAAATGGAGATGATGGTGGAGCCCTAATGACATTGGGTAGGCCCTGCATACAGTACATGAGCCCCACCACGCTACACATCCCATTCCCTTCAGTAATTTTTCTTTCCTCTCCACTCCACTCTCTTGAATATTTTTAAACAATCTACTTGATTAAGAAAAATGAAAAAATAGTGTTTGGGGGTATTAGAAAGTACCAACAATTTTCTTCTCATTATAAACTGAAAATAAGTATTACAATCAACATAGGTTTTTGTGTATGGCCACTTTGACCAAAGACATTTACTATAGACATCTCAACTACTTTACACAGATGCAGATGGCCTTTAAAGCACACTATTGCATTGGTGCCCTCCTTAAGCACAATTTTAAGAAGATTCAGCTGTTCTAATCCTTTACACCCTGTCCTCAAGCAGAGAGGAGGAAACTCAGAATTCACCTTGAATCTGGGTACCTACCATTTCTGACACAAATATCAGAAGATAATTTTTACTTTCTTTTACGTAGACACAATGATATCCATCTCATGTCCATTCATAAATGGACATAACCACAGGCAATATCAATAATCTCTCTACACTTAAATTATTTAATGCACTCAGTGTGAGAGATTAGAAAAAAAGAGCCAAAGAAACTATCTAAATCATACTTCATAATCCCCAAATCCATCTCCTTGGCTGACACCTAGCTTTTAAACCAATCTATTTGTGCTACACAGTACCACTGGGAGAGAAAAGGAAACTACAATAATGTCATCCTTTATCTAAAAAAAAGGCTATTAAGTTGATTTGCTATTTAGCTATTATTAAGAGAAGACCTTCTATTTGGTTACGTTAAATATAGAACTCTGAGCTCCTTAAGCACAGAGAACGTGCTATAATCCATCTTTGTGTTCCCTGTCCCTACTACTGGGCCTGGCATACAGTCAGGGATCAAGGAACACTTTCTTAAATTAATGGACATTAATTGACACAATTATGACCTTGGGTGACAATGACAGCAGTAAGTCACTAAAGATGTCTGATGAACCCAGAGTACTCCAAATTTTGAGCCCAGACTTCCAAAAAAGCATGTGATAGAATGGGGTTGTCCTTGATAAATTCTGCCTAAAGTTAGAAGACGTGCTTTCAGAAGCAGCATCAGGCTGCACATGAGAACATCTGGCTTCCTGTGTCAGGCACTCCACAAACAAGCTGTGTAACACCGCATCCAGGCTTGATCTCTGTGTTGAGTCCCTTGGCAACAGATAAGTTTAATTAAGTACATCAAACACCCCTGTGAGTTCTCACAGTTCATGAAAAATTCATTTGAAAACGAAAGATGTTAAGGCTTCTGCCATCGGGTTGGAGTCTACCTTTCCCAGATGGATTTCCTAAAATTGATCAGCTCTCTCCAGGCTGCCCTCTGCCTGGTGTCCTGGCTTCCTCCCCATTTCCTCCTGGTGAGAGCAACGCCCTGCTCTTCTTACCTAACTCTTAACCAGGCTTTGAGACCCAGGTGCACGCACATCCCGAAGCCTCCCAGACACTGCTGGGGATTTATGAGTAGCAGGGAGTCCCCTGTGAGACGGAGCACACCTGTCCTTAGCACACTGTTCCCAGCCCTCTTCCCAGCATACTTTGCAGAGTCCAGCATGGAGTAAAGCAGATATTGTGCCTCACCTTGCTCTCTCAGGACATCATAGGCTCCATTTTACCTAATCCAAGATCCCAAGATTACAAAGAAATGAAGAGGTTAAAAAAAAAACCTCTGTCCCAGAGCTGGGCTGGGTGGCCCATGCCTATAATCCCAGCATTCTCAAGGCTGAGGCAGGAGGAACTCAAGTTCAAGACCAGACAGGGCCACAGAGTAAGACCTTAACTACCTGGCAGTTCTTTGAGTGGGTATTTGCAATGAGACATGACTACGCCCATCAGCTGGCCTTTGTGCTTCACGAATAGCCCTCAAAAGGAGTAACGAAGGGCTGGGCTTGATGGTACAGGTCTGTAATCCCAGCTATGAGGGAGGTAAAGGTACAATTGTGGTTGGAGACCAGCCCCAGGCAAATTCAAGAACCCTATCTAAAAAATAAAACTAACACAAAATGGGCTGGGGTGTGACTCAAATGATAGCTACACCTAAGCACAAGGCCCTGAGTTCAAACCCCAGTACTGCCTCCCCCAGAGACAACTGGAGACTGCAAAGATATGAGAAGATGAGCTAACCTATTGAAAATAATCTTTGACCTGCTTGTTACCAATGGGTGTGCTTCCTGCAAAGTTACAAAAACAACTGGAACAGATGTTAACACTTTCAAGTGTCAACTGTAACAACTGATCTTAGAGAACTGTCTTCCCCATTTCTCCACACATGGAGCTAATCTACTTTCCTTATAAGATACAAAATGCATTCATGGTTCCACTCCAAAGTCTAAAATTAAAATTTCAATATTGTAGCTGGGTGTGGTGGAGCACACTGCCGTCCCTGCACTCAGGAGGCTGAGGCAAAAGGACCACAAGGTCAAGACCAGCTGAACTACATAGCAAGAGCCTGTCTAAAAAACACAAGGACAGGGGCAGTAGCTTAGTGGTAGAGCACTTGCCTAGCACGCATGAGACCCTGAGTTTGATCCCTAGCACCACACATACAAAACATTGTCGTATTGTGGGATCGGCATGGGGGTACATATCTGTAATCCCAGCTACATAGGAGACAGAAGGAGGATCTCAGTTCAAGGCTGGCCCCTAGTTAAAGTGTAGGACCCTATCTGAAACGTGACCCAAGTGGTAGGCTACATAAGTGCAAGACCCTGAGTTCAAACCCCAGTACTGCAAAAAAAAAAAAAAAAATCAGTATTGTAACTCCCAGCTCAACATCACACTAATTTATCTGGTAACCTTAATATGACAATGCTCGGGGTATCAAAACAGCTCCTTTCCCCTCTCATGCCTACCCCAAGAGGAACTAAGAGAGTCTTTTGTAGGTTGCAAGTCCTGGTCTGGTTTATTTATAAAGCAATAAATATTCAAAGCACAAACAAACTGCACGTGTGTAAACAAACTGTACAATGATTGATGAGAGATTGGGGCGGGGGTGGAAGATTCCAAGAAGCAGAGCACTGTCACCCTGAACTGAAGGCGGACCAGAGGAGGTGCCTTAGAAGCATTTGCGGTGGACGATGGACGGGCCTGCCTCGTCATACTCTTGCTTGCTGATCCACATCTGCTGGAAGGTGGACAGAGAGGCCAGGATGGAGCCACCGATCCAGACCGAGTATTTACGCTCGGGGGGAGCGATGATCTGCAGAAAAAAACCCAAAAACGTCAGCAAATTCTCCAAGCAACGAAGCAATAGGAGCCCGTAACCACCCGAAATGTGGGAGACTTCACACCACCAAGTCATCCACCCATCAAGTCTTCTGAACTTTTGTCTAGAATTTCCCCACTCCTCTGAACTACAGCAGAAGTGGCCATAGGCTAAGTGCCTGGTGGGGGCTAGCCCCAAAGTTGGGGGTTTTAAAGTGTGTTCACACTTGGTTTATTTTTCAAAGATTTATCTTTTTTCATTGTTTGAAAGCATTTTTAAAGTTCCCTATCTTGGGGAAAGTACTGGGAAAATGTCAGAAATAGTCATAGGAAGGCTAAATGGTAAAGTTTGGAGGAGACAAGAAGCTCTGAAGATGGGAGTGAAATTCAGCTTGGACATCAAGATCTGCCTCCGCCCTTCCCACCCACAAAGGATTTGTACCTTGATCTTCATCGTGCTGGGAGCCAAGGCTGTGATTTCCTTTTGCATTCGATCAGCAATCCCAGGGTACATGGTGGTGCCTCCAGATAAGACATTGTTGGCATACAGGTCCTTACGGATATCAATGTCACACTTCATGATGCTATTATAAGTAGTTTCATGAATGCCAGCAGATTCCATACCTAGAAACAAGATTTTAAAAAAAATCACAGTGCATTCAGACCAGGGTGGAGGGAAGAGAACAGGGCTCCCCTGTGCTGGAGAGCTGCCACCCTGAAACATATGTTCTTCCATGAATATACACAACGGGGAACAGGTGGAACAGGTGTCTCTTAAAAGTGCTGAAAGATAATCCACCATAGACTGCCAAGAAACAAGCAACTGTGTTTAGTGCCCGGGTGGAGTGAGCACCTCTTGTAACTAGATATATGGAGATGTACTGTGAAAGGGTAAGCTAAAATTAATGCACGGTTTATTTATGGACTAAAATCAGATCCAGGCTTCCTCTTGGAAGTCACTACTTAAGAAATACCCTCGGTGACATACAAGTGTCCAGTTGCTTCTGTGAGTAGGGCTGTGGTGGCATTTAATGACAAATAAAGGAAGGTGCAGCTATTTGGAACTGGAATGAGCCAGCTCTCTGGAGTGAGCAGCCCTCACCTGCAGATATGAGAACTCCGTCTCCACCTTCCCTGTCTTCCTTGATCTTACCCTAGAGCAGAAGACAGTTCCCTACAATAAGCCATCAGGACTTGAGGCTGAGTTTCATGGGACTCCAAGCTATGACTACTAACTCAAAGGCCCCTTAATCTGTCTAATTATAATGGAGTTTACCCTGGGACACCCAAACATTTCTACTCACCAATGAAGGAGGGCTGGAAGAGGGTCTCAGGACAGCGGAAGCGCTCATTGCCAATGGTGATGACTTGGCCATCGGGCAGCTCATAGCTCTTCTCCAGGGAGGAGGAAGAGGCAGCTGTGGCCATCTCATTCTCAAAATCCAGGGCCACATAACACAGCTTCTCTTTAATGTCACGGACAATTTCACGTTCAGCTGCAGAGATAAAGGGCATCACAGTCAAGCTCTGCAGGTAGAAGCAATTATGGGGAAGCAGGAGGAGGAAAGCAGACACATCCCAGTCCCGTGGCAGATAAGACACGCACTCACTCACCGGTGGTGACGAAGGAGTAGCCTCGCTCTGTGAGGATCTTCATGAGGTAGTCAGTGAGATCCCGTCCAGCCAGGTCCAGACGCATGATGGCGTGGGGCAAAGCATAGCCCTCATAGATGGGGACGTTGTGAGTGACGCCATCGCCAGAGTCCAGCACAATGCCTGCCAGAGGGAACAGACAAGAGTGAGGAAAGGCCCTGGGCACCTGCTCCAGCGTTGGAACAACCAGCTCCTGTCTCGCCTGAGAGATGCAAGACTGGGTATCGATCCAGATAAAATGAGCTCTCTTACACACAAAGAATAAAAATGACCACGATGGATGGATATGACATCCAAAGGAAACTGTAGCTCATGCTTTGAAAACTTGTTATAGGACAATTTCCTGAGGTCACTTTCAAATGACTGTCCCTCTTATCGGACATTTAGCATGCTATGGAAGCATCTGACCATGGTTTGGTGATTCAGGTTCTAGGAAATGTATAATGCTTCTTATATATGTTTGCCCAGGGGTTGTGATGAAATAGACACACACCAGTGACTGTGACATTCTGGTGCTACACTGTGCTAAGCCTCAACATAACATCGTATAACTTAAATAAGGGAAAGAGCTAACTCACGAGCTTGTCACCTCTGACAATAAAGGTTCTCTGAAACTAACCTCAGAGAACGATTATCACCTCGCTCACTTAGCGCACACACCTTGCAACAGAGGGTGAGGGAAGGGACCGTTCCTTTTCCAACTGCAGAATCAGATTCACAGCAAGGTCAGTGGTGGGGAATGTGATTGATTAATCCTATTCTGTGACTGTACCCACAGCCCAGGCATACCTGTGGTACGGCCAGAAGCATACAGGGACAGCACGGCCTGGATGGCCACGTACATGGCAGGCACGTTGAAGGTCTCAAACATGATCTGGGTCATCTTCTCACGGTTGGCCTTGGGGTTCAGCGGGGCCTCAGTGAGCAGGGTGGGGTGCTCCTCGGGGCCACGCGGAGCTCATTGTAGAAGGTGTGATGCCAGATCTTCTCCATGTCGTCCCAGTTGGTGATGATGCCGTGCTCGATGGGGTACTTCAGGGTCAGGATGCCACGCTTGCTCTGAGCTTCGTCACCAACGTAGGAATCCTTTTGCCCCATACCCACCATGACTCCCTATGACAAAAAAGAAGACAGGGACACCATGCTTCCACCATATCAGAAATATATCCATGCCTTATCAATGTGTATCTAACGGCCCACGTCAAGGATCTTCTTAAAAATATCAGAAACAATTAAAATTAAGATTTCCTCAACTTAGAAGAATCACTTAAAATAAACCTACACTTTATCCCCACACACGGATGTGCGCTCCTATTGTTTAGAATATCACGGGGGAGGGAAGAATAAAGATATTTCACTAAAGAAGGAGAACCTACTCTCATTTTTTAAATTATTAAAATTAATAATGCCCTCATTAATTATTAAGCTTATCACCTATGTCAACTGGAAAATAGATGACTATCTTTTGGAACTACTAAATTAGTGACACATTGTACTTCTCCTAAGAAAAGATTTTGACATTCACCATGCGAAAGTAAATAGATAGGCTGATATGCTACTGTCACTCTGGTGATAAAATTCAACCCCTGTGGAGCTGTCCAGGAGTCCCTGTCATTCACCAGCCCTGAGCACCAAACAGCTCCGAGTTCTGGCAGCCTGTTTGGCCAGGCATGTGACAAACCCAGAGAGCAAAGCATTTCTTTTAATAAACAAGGTGGTATGTCACTATCACCATGGCACTTCTGCCTCTGTCACGTCTGACTTCTAAAACTGCAACAGCCAGGATGGAGATCCATTACATCTTTTAGGAGCCCCATAAACTGCTGTGAACAAGAAGGAAGAATGTGTGTTGGGTCCTGCTTGGTTGAGAGAGTTATATTATTTGAAATTTTGAACAGGAGTGGTTAAGGGGGGGACAAAGAAGAAAGCAGCATTAATAAGAAGTAGGGAAGGCACCGAACACAGAAAACCCAGAAGGTGGCGTGAGAGAAGCTGGTGGCTTTGCACTGAGGAAGCTGAACCACTGACAGGTGTGCCATTGAAGTATAAAATGTACATTTCTTGGGGTACATTTGCTTGTCTTGGCTTGGATTTGCAGCTAACCCATCTCTTCCTTACTTGACCCAACCAAGCAGTTGGGTCAGGTGAGGCATATCCTACACTTGAAGAGGATGGAGGCTGGGGGATGGGGAAAGGGGCACGGTATGGGGCTGGGGACCCGGGTGGCAGCAGGCGGGGAAGGGCAGGGCGAACCTGATGGCGAGGGCGGCCCACGATGGAAGGGAAGACAGCGCGGGGCGCGTCATCACCCGCGAAGCCAGCCTTCACCAGGCCAGAGCCATTGTCGCACACCAGGGCAGTAGTCTCCTCGTCGTCACACATCTTGGCAAAGCTTGTTCAGGGTCTGTAGGGTGAGGAAGGTTGGGTGGGCCACACTCAGCGCCCGCGGAGCTGGCCTGCGCCAGCTGTGCCTGGAGCAGGCAATGGGGCCCAGTGGGGTGGGAGTGGGATGGGGAGTGGGGTGGGAGTGGGCTGGAAGAGTTTGCACTGTTCCCTTCCCCAGGAGGCACGAGAAGGTCGAGAAGGGAGAGGAGACACCCAGTTCCCTGGCTAGGAGTCTCACCCCGCACCCCAGGTCCCAGGAGGGGCGGTCCTGACCACCCAGGGGAACCCCACTCCTCAGCAAGTCCCCGGCCTGTCCACTTGTCGCTTTTCACAACCCCTGTCTTCTCCACATCCCATGCCTTGCCCGAGGTGGAGGCGAAAGCGCAGGAGACCGGGGACCCCAGTGTCCTCGGTGGGGCGCAGGGAGGAAGGCGCAGGGCTCGCCTTGCCTGCGCTCCTGTCCTGCGAGGTCCGAGGCCCAGGGCAACAAGAGTCAGAACCACATCAAAAAGTTTGCCTTGGGGACAAAGCAAAGGAACAAAGACAGCGGGGCGCGGGGACTCACCGTGTGCGGGGCTCGCGGGGCTCGCGGGTGGGCGGAGGCGGCGACAGGCGCTGGTGGCGGACGCCCGGGGCGCCGCTTTATAGCGCGCTGATGGACGGGGTCAGATGCTGCGGCCGGGGGCAGGGGCGGGGGGCCAGGCCTGCCACCTTGCCTTATTTGGTCGCCTTAGCCCCATCCAGGACCGCCGAGGCCATTCATGGAGCCAAGGACAGGGGAGAGGATCAGCGGGGGGCTCCCAGACCATGTAAGGAAGGGGAGGGGGCAGCCAGAAGAATGGCCAAATACGGAGCTAGGGAGGGGCACGGGAAGACTGGGTGACGCCAGCCCACCCCTGCCTCCTTCCTGGGGTGGGGGACCTCTCTGGGTGTGCTGTGGACTTGTTCCTCTGCAGCCTTGCCCCTCTTAGGGACAATAAGCCACATGCAAGCGGGGGAGGCTTGGCGCCCTGCCTTCAGCTCAGGGGTCCTGACAGCTGGGCCAGGACAGCAGAGAAGTGACAACAGCTTCTCATCTTCCAGGGCTGGGAGCGGGAAGAGCTGAGCCTGGCAGTCCTCTTGGGCACAAAGGGTGCCATAGCAGCACATTTGAGTACCTGCAAAGTTACACCTGGAATAAAGCACCTTCCTGGCTGTTCCCCACTTTCTGAGCTGGGACTGTGCTCCTTCAGGTGGGGAAGGTGAGACTGACCAGCTGTGATCCCAGCCTACAGGAGGTCAGGGTCTGGCAGGGCAGAGGCTGAGGAGGGTTACTGTGAGAGTCCAGCCAAGTCTTGCTGTTGGACAGACCAACCCTTCTCCATGCTGCAGGGCTGTGACTCAAACTCACACTTCCATATTTTGGTCAAAAAGAGTCCCTTGCTTCCAAAGAGAATGAAGGCACAAATGCCAAAAGTAGCTTAGCCCGCAGCTGGTGGATAGATGAAATCTTTTAAACAAATATCTTCATTACAAGTGGAGCAAGTCTGAAAAGCAAATACTCTTGTCTAGAAGATGACAGCAATGTCAACCTCGAACCCATCAACCCTGGCCACCCAAGTGCAGTCTGTGGAAAGCAGTCTCCTTGTGACCAAATGCAGAGTCTTGGGCATCGAGCCTTGGTTCTGAGTCAGTCCCCTTCCCTCAAATCCTCATTAGAGCAGAGTGTGCATCAGTGTGAGGAACCTGGCATAAACAACCGACACCATGTCCTTGGTGGAAATTGGGTTTTAAGGGATCTTGGGATGTTTCAAAAGGAAAAAGAAAGATGGTATGAAGTAGAGGTTGGAACAGGAGCGGGGACACAAAAGAAGGACACAGGTCACTAGCTGCCCTGGGCTGCCCTGCGTGCTCAGTTTGACTGGTGCATGGATTTGCAATGTGTGCTTTTCCTCCAGCTCACACCAGTTAAAAATAGAAAGCTGGGCACAGGCCTCTCTCTCTAGAGTGGGCTTGCTTTGATATGCTGAGGAGGGCTGCTGATTAGATACTGGTCCAGTGGGGAATTCTGGGCCCTGCCCGCTGAACTTCCAACCATGTTTGGTTGGTCTGGGGAAGGAACCATGGGGCAGCTGGGTGATGGAGCCAGGTGAGGGGACTGACTGGCATCATGCCTGGCTGCATAATAGGCTTAAAAAAAAAAAAAAAAAAAGCATTGACAAGACATAAAAAGCTGAGCTGCCTGAGCTCAGGCAGATCCCAAAGAAGAAGGAGAAATGGAGCTGGCCTTAGAGCAGCCAGCCAGGCAAGCCCCCCTCAGTCTTTTACTTCTTACTGTGCATTTGGTCTTAGGGAGTCAGTTAACTCCCCCTGACCCCTAATTTTCCCCCTCTGTAAGGGACATAATGACTTTTTGTATTCTTTATTAGCATACATTAATTGTTCAAAAGGGTCTCATTGTGATATTTCCATATGTGCATATAATTACTTTGATTGAATCCCACCCCTTTATTACTTTCTTATCCTCTCTCCTCCTTTTAAAACAATTTTAATGGGCTTCACTATTTTATTTTCATACACGTACATGAAGTACTTTGATCATATTCACCTCCCCCTTACTCTCTCTTTTCACCCTGGGACACCATAACTTTTCCTACAAGGGTTATTGAGAATTGTAATAATAATTTTGTAAGTGATATAGAAGACTCAGTGAAATTGACCTGAGCAATTAAGTAATAATGCCACTACTTTGGAAGATATCAAATGCTCTCTCGTTTGAAGAATTGGGTCAATTTCATTCATTCATTGATTCAGCAATGTCCCATTGATTGTGGACAAAACTATGCAAATCACAAGGATTTGGTGATAAGAAACACAGAGGACTCTTCTATGAAATTACAGAACAGTCAGGGGCAGGTACGGCAACTGCTGGGAAGAAAAGGAGGTGTCTCTGGAATCATCTTGAAAAGGGGAAGTCTGAAAGAAGGGTCAGAGAAAGCCTCCCGAGGATGGTTCATTCCACCATTTTTAGAGCAGAACTGAAGTTTGTGAAGGTTTGTGTGAGAGATGGTTCTTGGCAGGGTTAGTGAGAGACCCCCACACTCACACCACGCATGAAGGCTCCCGGAACCCCAAACCACGATATTTAACCTGAACCTCTGGCAACCTTTTTAGGGCTCAGAGGCCAATTCTAGCCCACCCACTCCAGGATTATGGATCCTAGCTGGGAATGCATATGACAGTGGAAGACCAGCTTTGCGAGATAATAGTCTCCCTTACAACATTTTAAACTGTGCTTTGCATTCTATCCAATTTATTTTGAACATTCAAAACAGTGTATTTTCATGTGTTAAATTTTATAGCAGGAAAGAATACTTTTTCCTTAAAGATTTATGGTGAAAACATTGACAATCCTTTCTTCTAGCTTTTTGAGATATATAGCACATTATCTTTATCTAAAGTCACCTATGCCACCTAACTGTAACTTGGCATTCATTGAACAGCCTCGCTCCACCCCTCTGCCACCACTCTCTCCAGCTCTGGTACCCACTATTCTACTCCAGATTCTAAGAAGTCACTTTTCTAAGATTGCACAGATGAGTAAGAGCATGTGGTTGATACTAGGCCTTCTGTGCCTGGTGTACCTCATTTAATATAATCATCTCCAGGTCCATCCATACTGCTGCAAGTGACAAAATGCCTTTTTTTTTTCTGGCTGAATAATATATATCTCTACAATAATACATTTCTTTACTTGTCAGTTAGTGGACACGGGTTGTTTCCATTTCTTGGCTATTGCAATATTACAGGAAGCACGAGGAGCGCGCAAATGTTTTTTTGACATATTCATTTATTTTCCTTTGAAAATATGTCCAGTAGTGAGATTGCTGGATCCTATGGAAGCTTTATTTTAAATTTTTGAGGAGCCACCACAGTTTTCCTTAATTTCTGTACTAATTTACTTTCCCATCAATGGTGTGCAAGGCTTCTTTTTCACTACACTTATCTTTTGTCTTTTTGATAGTAGCCATTCTTAGCAGGCAGAGGGCACCTCACTGGTTTTGATTTGTGGTGCTGGTACCTAATGCACGTACCTGATGGTCATTTGTAAGTCTTCTTTTGAGAAATGTCTATTTAGATTTAATGCCTTTTTTAATTTTTTTTTTTGCTAGAGTCCTTTCAGGTCCTCAGATATTTCAGATATTAATCCCTTGACAGAACTAAAGTTTACAGATATTCTCCCAGTCTGTAGCTGGTCTCTTCCCTCTGATTAATGCTTCCTTGGCTATGCAGAGCTTTTCAGTTTGATGCAATCCCATTTGTCCATTTTTGCTTTTGTGTCTTGTCCCTAAAGATTTATGACTGTTTGATATTTACTATTGTATTAACACCCAGGCTTCACAAGTTAAAAACATCAAACCCTAGTTTTATGTATATATTAAAATACAAGCCAATGGAAAAGTCAGAATCCATGACTGATTTTCATTTAACACGAATTTTCAGAGTTGTATTTAATTTGAGACTGGCTTGTCTCATCTACTTAAGTGTATAAAAATAACTTATCCCGTCTGTTGGTGAATTCCAGATACTCTTTTTTTTAAATTATAGTGAAATAAATATAATATCCAGTTTATTACCTTACCATTTGACAGGGGGCAGCTCACTAGTGTTAGGTGCACTGACACCGTTGTGCAATCAGGCTCCTGATTTTATTTTTAGGTGCTTAATTGTTACTAAATTGACTTCCAAACACAGGAATGACAGAGCCATAGTTTGAGAGACTGGTTCGTGTCCAAGGAGGCAGGGAACCACTGAGCTTGTTTGCCTGAGGTCACACAGGTAAGCAAATAAGAAGAGTGAGATTGGAACCCAGGCATCTGAGTTAAACCCTGTTCCTAACCACCGATGCCTTCCTGTCTCCTTCTGCTTCTTAGAAAGGGATGCTAGAATCACCTGCACCTGGGCACCTAATTAAAGTTCAGCTTTCCAGGTTCCACCCTAGAAGAAATCTGCTTTTC